GTCATATTAATGAAAATATTACAATGGCTTATAATAATAATAATAAAAATGTAGTAATAATAATTACTACGTATATATGTGTGTGTGTGTAAACAATGGCAACAATAAATAGTGATGATGATGTCGAAATATTTATAATAACTCCATAAATGAGTCCTAAGGATGTTTTTACTTGGACTGTAATTTACTGGTCTGGTCTGGTCTGGTCTGGTCTGGTTTCTTTGTATTTTTATAACTATCCAAGTCTGGTCTGATCTGGTCTGATCTGGTCTGGTCTGGTCTGGGAGGAATTACAGTCCAAGTAAAAACATCCTAAGTCTTTTTAAATTTTGAGGAGTGCTTCGTGTATATGTGAGATAATTGGTTTTAAATTCAGATTCTTTTAACAAATTGTTTGTGTACACAAATAACTAGGTTTAAAAATTCTGATTCTTTTAATCAATTATTTGTGTGCACAAAAAAATAGGGGTGAATATGTATGAAACCATCAAAATGATGGGTACCAATGACTTTTCATGTTTCTCTTCAAATGAAGTGTTCCATTAGAGCATCCATAATGACTAGCTATATACATTGTAGATTTGATTGCCACATCATATACTTCTGGTTAACTCATTTTATAGCAATGTGATACTCCAATTGCTAGCTATAATGCTTGCCTCTTTAATAGTTCGACTCCACAAATCAACCAACTTTAAAAGTATACATTTTTAATGAATTGAATTCTAATACAAAAAAATACAGTTTTGACATACTTCTAAATTGAGAAAATGTCGATGATATTTTTAAACCTATAAATAATCAGTTTTATTATTAATATAATGTACTACGTAGATAATATGAAAAGATATATTTTTAAAATTACTACAAAAAAATGTATTTTTTAAGTTAAAAAATAAGAAATGTGAAATATTAACAACATATATGTACTAAACAATATCAAATTTAAACATCTTTTTATTTAGTTTAATACTACCTTCATCCAAGATTGATTTGCAAAATTGACTTTTTTTGTCAAACAGTTTCATTTTATTCACTGAATTAGGATGACAATTTTTAATTATATTGTAGTTTGGAGCCTATAACTTTGAAGAGATTTTAATGCATTTTCTGAATATGTAAATTTTAATTATAAAAAATTGAATTATATATCAATAGGTAGGATTTAACTTTAATATTCGTTGACAAAAAAAAGTTGACTTTACAAATCAACTTGGAACGAAGAAAGTATGTCAAATATCTAATAAATTTAATATATTTGGCAATTACCATTTTAGTTCAAATTTCTCTCCCTTCATAGTTTGTATTGTACTAGATTCTCACCCGTGCGGTTTACGGAATAAAATTTAATAGAGTGATTTAATGTTGTTTATTATTTACCGTAACAATAATGGGTTAAATCGACTTTTTATCAATTTCGATCAAATTTAACCAATGATATTTTTTAATACAAAATTATTTAAATTATGAAAATTATATGAGCATATTCTTTACTAAAAAGTCTTTAATAAAAGTATAGAATTTATAAATTACGCACAAATATAATACCTAAAATCATTGTCTAAGCTTTAATATCATTTATTAAAAAAATCAAATTGATCAATCCTTTAAACTCGTGACATGAAAACTTAAAAGAAAAACACATTGTAGACTAATACGGAATATTAACCATATACATAGTATTTACAGTATAATTTAATTTTAAAAAATGTTAAATAAACCTAAATGTTACGGAATGTGTGTACTTCAGATCTCAAAAGTAGATATGTCTAATTTACGTATCACACAACCTTTGGCGGTCCATTTAATAACCTCTATACCGGTGGGCGTAACTCAACTGGTAGCAAGGGAGTGTCACAAGAGTTAGTTCCCGGCTTCGAATCCTGACAACTGCGATGAGAGGTTACTATGCTAAAAATGCATAGGGTCTCTGCAAGTACCGGGGACAGAGTCTCACTCTCTATCTGTCAGATTGGGATTATAATCTAATTTACATCCTCCCAACGTACCGTCCGGTCGGGGTTGAGGAGCTCTCAGAGACGAGATGTCATCCTTTTTTTTATTACGTATGTACATGTATTGATCCTTTACACGGAGTACTAAAAAGTGCCTTGAATATAGTGCACTGATATCCAAGTCAAACTTCTTCAATTAATCATGTTCCGCAGCCTAACCCTTCAATGTACTTTTGCCTCAAAAATTACTTTAGCCGTTTTTCTGGCCTGACCCATTTTTGACCCGAATTTTTGAGCAAGAAAACTGCCCAAAAATACATAGATAATTGAGTTAATTACCTAAATAAGACAAAAAGTGGCCCAAGAGCACAAATAGGACTACATGTTTTAAATTTCCCCGATATAACTATTTACGTGTGTTTGGATAAATGTACTCTCGTAACTTTTAAAATGTCTTAATTAATAATAAATCATATAAAATAAAAAACGTAAAAAATAATAAAAAAGAAGAAAAATAGTAAAAAATTTATAAATATATATATAAATGAAGAAGAAAATAATTTTTTTAAATAAAAAAATAAAAAAAAAATAAAAAATGTAAATAAAATGCCGCCACCTCTGCCACCCCCAGCTCCCAACATCGGTTGAAAATCTGCCAACATTTTTAGTAATGCCATAATAATGTGAGATTCAATGAGAATTTTGGCATTATGAAGAGTGATGATATCATCTTCTTGTCATGTTCCGGAAAAAAATGGTATTTTTTACGAAAGATGGCATAATTTTCACCGATCGAAGTGGTGGTGCTGGGAGGCGGCGAGAAAGGTATCCACATTTTTTAAATTTTTTAATGCATTTTTACTATTTTTTATTAATTTTAAAAAAGGGAAATTGGTCGTAGATGATACTAAAAAAGACGGAATAGGCATACATAGGACTTCAAATTCTTCTAAACCTAAATAGGACTAAATTTATGGACTTTTCCTATTCTACCCTTAATGACTTGTCTGCACAAATTCCCCAAACTCCTAACCCTCTCTCCTGGGTAGCGGACGGCAGTCTGTGCACTTCGAATAGGCAGCGAAGGAAAACTCCATTGATGACGATGAGATGGTGATACAAGATGACTGCAAATGCCTATTGGCAGGTTCGGCTGCCGCTGCTACTGCATATCTGGCCAACACCACCATTGATGTCAACCCTTTTATCAGAATGCCAAAACAAATCGAAAATGCCATTTTAATGGCATTTTCAAAGCAAAATATGAATTTTTAAAAGAATAAAAATGCCATTTTGATGACATTTAAAAAAATTGGCAATCGTAGCAATCAAGTAGTATTTACTCGAGCCATTAGACTCCCCAAAAGCCCAATAAACCATATCAGTTTGATTTCAACGATTGTTGCCAAATACAAAGCATTTAAAAAACACAAAGATGAGGAAGAAGAATAAGCAAAGAGACAACAAAGATGCAGATCGACGAAAAAGAAGAGAGAAGAAGACTCTAGAGCTTGGCACCACCACCACACCAGATTCAGACGGGAAAAATTTGAAGAAACAGAGCAGTGCGAGGAAGAGGCAGACCTGACGCACGCTGCCGCTGCCGCTGCTCGCCGGGGTTCGCCACCACTCGCGGGTGAAGCGAAGCTCTCGATCTGTTGCGCGTGGGAATGGTTGAAATGAGGTGAAATGGATTATACGGAGGTTATGAGCTTGTAGATGGTTGAAATGAATTAGAGGGGTAGTATCGGAAGAATGGTTTTATTTAGGGAATAAAATTATACTACTCCTATTTAAGAATTTCAGCAACAATTTAATCCTATTTGAGTAATTCCCTCTTTAAAAAATCAAATTTTTATAATTTTTTTACGATCTTTAATGTTTTTTTTACGATTTATTGATATTTTTTAAGATTATATTTTGAATTAAAACATTTCATTATGAATTAATACCCTTAGGGGCATTTCTTGTAGGAATCAATGTTTAATCCTATTTGGGAGGCTTAAAAATGTAGTAGTCCTATTTGTCCATTTTAGGAAATATTTAGTCTTACCTAGAGCAATTACTATAGATAATTTGGTTGCCCAAGTTAGAAAGAAAAAAGCACTCCGGTGATAAGTTAGTATCTTCAATATTTTAGAAAGAAATAACTACATATTTATGACGAAAATAAAGATCGTGTTACAAAAATGTGACTAGAGATTAAAGTAGTAATGAAATCATAATAGCTTATTTACGTTTAATTTTTAAACTTAAGTTACCGTGACACTACATTATAGTAACTATTAATCATATTTTTGTAAATAAATTTTATTTTAATAATTATTTTGTAAAAACCCTTTTAGAAAATTACAAACAAGTCTCTAGGTGCAATCATTGGAGATACCCTTAATACTTCTCTCTACCATATGGCTTATTTCACCCATTTGACCGTTGGTTTTCTCTATCAAACCTACTCCAACCGTCTCATATTTATTTCTCCTAAAAGACAATCGACACGAGAATTAATATATTAGAATTATGTGCTGAAAAGTCGTGCATAGAAGAAAGAAACAAGTAAGAATATATAAGTAATCTTGTGAATTATAAAAAAATTTGTCGTAAAAGAAACGAAATAATAATTTTGGAACAGAGAGAAAAATTGGAAAAATTGACAAGAATAATCTCACCTTTCACTGGTCTTCTCATAATAATCTCACCTTCAAATAATTCCAAAATAATCTCACCTTTACACCTCATCTTCTTTTATTGGACTCTGACCAAGTTTTTTTTACCTTTTTTAAAAATCTTATATAAATAATCTCACATTTATAAGGATATAATTAAAAAGTGAAAGGTGAGATTATTTATATAATTTTCAAAGAAAGAGTAAAAAACATGATCAGGGTCCAATGAAAGAAGGTGAGATTATTTCAGGATTATTTAAAGGTGGAATTATTATGAGAAAACCAGTGAAAAGTGAGATTATTCTTGTCAATTTTTTCAAAAAAAATTGAATAATAATATTGGGACGTTATTGCTATTATTTCAAATAATTAAAGGGGAGAAAATCACAAAAACCATTGTCGGCTTCTGTCCAAGCATCAAACACTTCACGTATCACGGATTCACGGGCGCTAATCCTGAAATGGAGACTTCTTCTTCATCGTCGGCTTCTGTTGATACTGTACTTCGAACACTAGCCAACAGAGGCTGGTCTTTCCGCGACATTGATCAAGTGAAATTACTCCTGTCAGCTCAATCTAGCTTGGCCACCATCGATTCAGTTGAATTAGAGCTTATCAAATTGGACTTGCGATCCATCGGCGGTAAAACGTTACCCGACCCTTCCTCTATTCGAAAAGTTTCTCATCTTCAGGGCCCTATAGTTCTTCAAGTACTTCTTCTTCTCTTTGTCTCTGTATTGTTCTTTATATGCAAGTTATTAAGGCCTATTGTTTCTTAAATTTTTTCTTGATAGTGTATGTAGTTGTATTCTGTGATTGCATTGAACTGTCCTTCGGATACATCTGAGTATCTGACCTAATAGGAGTAATGTGTTTTGGCATTAGGCTTTATACATGACACCACTTCCCAAATTTGGCAATAATTACTTCAATTTAGGTGATAAAAACATTTCATGACTTCTGAAACCTTTTTACTTCTATTTCAAGAAATTTCTCAATAAAAATCACAAAGAAAGAAAAACATAAAAGTGAATATTCAAATATTATTTCTTACTAGTATTAAATTAACACTACTGAATGCATTGGAAATAATTAATTTGATACAACTTGTCTCACTGTTTTACCTGCAAAAGCATTACTCCAGTGACCAGTCAGTATGATCCAGCTTTTGATTTCCAATTTGACTACATTGGTAACCTCTAGTTCTTCTTTTTTAGCATTCAATATATTTGCATCAAGAAGATTGTTCACACTCAAGTTCTAACTATTGTTCATTGTCATTTCATTCATCATTTCTTCTCCCAAATTTTCTGCAATTTTACACTCGCCCACTTTTTCTTTCCTTTTTTGTAATAAGTTACTATACGTATTAATATTCTAGTTTGATCTTATATCTAATCTCCTTCTTTCTGTCTTTTGAAACCAACCATATTTTCTAGGATTGATTCTAAAAAATAGAAACATTATTTAAATTTGCATTTTAAAAAGAATTATAGTTAATGTCAATCTTGACTCTTGAGTGGTCAATTTTATGCTTGATCGCTCAACAACTGAGGTCTTTCACCTTCTTAGATAACTAATGGAGAAGTATAGAACCTCGAACATGGATTTGCATTTAGTGTTCACTGACTTAGGAAAAATGTATGACAAGTACCTTTAAAAGCCCTTTGATGGGACTTAATTAGAAAAGGCATATCACGTCAATAATCAACATCATAATGGATATGTATGAGAATTGTAGTACAAGTGTCCAAACTAGTGTAGAGAAGAATGCAAAGTTCCCTGTTACGTTATTACTATCAAAGTGCACCATGTATTGGTTTCAAGTACTTTCTTATTTGTTATGGTTATGAATGAACTCACGAAGTCAATTCAAGAAAATATACAATGGTGCATCGTGTTCACCGACGATATTGTGTTGATTTAAGAGACAAGATCAATTGTTAAAACAAAGTTGGAAGTATGACATGACAAACTATGGAGAACAAGGGTTTCAGGCTGAGTAGAAACAAGAGTGAATATATGGAGTGCAAGTTTAGTGGGGTAGAAGAAATGGTAACAGTGAGATTACCTTAGATGGTAAGAAGATACCGATCGTGATATGTTATGTTACTTGAGCTCTATTGTTCAGAAAAATGGTGAATTAGATGGAGATGTATCCCATAGAGTCAAAATGGTATAGATAAAATGGAAGAGTGTGTTTGGATTTTTATGCGATTGAGGTGTGCTGATTACCGACTAGACTGAAGGGCAAGTTTTATCGAACAACAATTAGACCTGCATTATTTTATGGCGTAGAGTGTTGGGCGGTGATCCAATGTCACATTCAAAAGATGAGTTTGGTTGAGAAGCGCATGTTGCGTTAGATGTGTGGACATACTAGAAGATGAGACAATTAGGCAAAAAGTGAGAGTAACACCTATTAAAAATAAGATGCGAGATTCTCAAATGTGGTAGTTTGGCTATGTGTGTAGAACTATAGAAGACTTAGTAGTGCATCTGGTACACGAGTTGAGAGATGATGAGAAGATGCGCGGACGAGATGGTGAGAAACACTAAAACAGACGTAGATTAGAAGGGTCAGGAATGATATGTTACTTCTTGGATTGAATGAGAGTATGACTTTGGAGAGATCGGAGTATAAAGAGTATACATGTAGATGATTGATCTCATTTTTTTATCTTTCTTATCTTCTTTATCTTATTTTAAAAATCTTTATCTCATTTTTTATCTTTATCTTATGGGAGAATTTGACTTCCCCATTTTTGGTTGATATATGACTTTACCGGAAACAATCTATGTGTTTTAGTACAAGGATAAGACTGCGTACATCCGACCCCTCACTGGGGTAATGATAATGATGATGATGACGATGCACCCCAATTCACTATAAAATCATTTGAATTTGCACCTCACTCCATCAATTTTTTTGGATTGATGGGGTGCACACATTAATGATTTTGAAAATGGTGTGCAAAGTCCATTATCGCTCAAAATATGGGGTGCAAATTCAAATTCTCCCTTATATTATCTTATCTTATTTTTTTTATCCTTTTTATCATATCTTATCTTTTTTTATCATTTTAGCCCCGATTTCAAATGTCTTTTCATGTTAGCTGACTCCAAACTCTTTTGAGCTCAAGGTTTGAATGTTTTTATTGTTGTTGTCAATCTTAGGTGGTATGGTTGGTTTAAGGGCGTGATGAGTGGGGGTCTCTGGTTTGAGACTGTCTTCGAAACCACAAGCGGATATACATGGGGAGGGATATCTGTTCTGCGAATGGTCAAGAAAAATAGAGTTTTAGACGTTAACTCAACCAGTAAAAGTGTAAACTAATTAACAGTTTTTTAAACTATTGTTACATTTAGTCTAGTTTGACCAAAATTATGTTGTGCAATTCTAAGCTAATTTCAGTTACGGTAATTCCCTGGAATGTAGTGCTTACCATAAATTTAACCAGTTACCAGGAATTGTAGGAAATTAATATAACTTTCAGAGCTCACAACTCAAAAGACATCTAGACTTCATGACACACAAAAACAGTGTAGCTCACATGAAATTTATGTAAATAATCAAATTTCCCAGAACAAAAAGTTAGAGACCAATAGCTTATCCAGTTAGCTTCTGTTGTACTATAATAAATGAAATCAAACACAGCATGATCAGTAAAACTTTATACAATAATATCACAAGGCAAGGGTGTAATACTATAAAAAAATTGAAAAAGGAAAAACAATAATGATAGCTGCATAAGTATTATTTGCAGAAGTGTCAGGGGAAACCACCAGTCATATTAGTCTTATTGAAATAATTAGAAAGCTGGTTGTATTAAAGGTGTAAATTTGCCCTGTTTGGCATTTAGCTGTTTGTATTAGCTCTTAGCTGCTAGCTGTTTACATAGCTATTTGAACTTGGATGTTTCTGTGAGCTGTTTCGACTAGCTATTTCTGTTAGCTCTTTTGACCAAATTTTACTTTATCTGCTTGGTAATAATAATCAATTGTAACTTGTTTGAAGGTATAAAGTGTACATCGAAAGCTTTTCACAAAAATATTCTATAAAAGCTTATTTAGTAAACTTTTTTAAATCGTTTGTTTCTGTCACCTTAGCTTTTTTGAACGACCCATGACTAAAAACTAAAATCAGCTCTTTCACATGGTCAAAGAGCTAATTGACTAATTTATATTGGAAACGTTAACAATCTTCTAAAAAGCTCTTTACCGAACTTGACATGATGACCTTTCACTACATTAGTATTATATGAAAAATAAATGTCCACAAAAACTAGGCTTTAATGATTGTAAATTTGTAACTCTTCATCAGTTTATCTCCTATTTTTGGATTTTTAACAACTGGCTTTCTTAATCTTTTTAGTAGTTACTATATCCTCTGTAACACATTTGTTCTGATTTGTTCTGGGGAAATAGACTTCTGAAACATATTTAAGTGTTTCTGCATTTCTGTACTAGACACGCTGATGACACATTTTCAATGTACCACAGTTCTTTTCCCTAATGTATGCCAACTTTTTTAGATATCTTCTGTCAGAGATGTATCTAGCAGCAAAGTGACTGAGAACTCAGGAAATGCAAAAAGTCGACGTCTTTTAAGATTGAAGCTCACCGATGGACACTATGAAGTAACAGCGATAGAATACTCTTACATACCATCAATTCCTGATGATGTCATACCTGGCACTAAGGTATTCTGAATTTTAAATAAAAAATAACCTATGATGTATCTGGCACAGAATTTCCATTTTTTAAAGAACCCGCCACTTCCAAAATGCTTATATGTATACTTCGTCATTGTAGTTTTATCTTGACTCAATTTTATCTATCATCATAATTCACCTGTCTTTTCTATAACTCACCAATTTGTGTGCACCTAGCTTCCATAACTTCTTTATCATATGTGCTCATGGCAGGTCCGTTTGGAAAACAAAACAATAGTGCGTAGTGGTATTGTTTGTTTAAATGCCAAAGCAGTTACTGTTTTAGGTGGATTTGTTGAGTCACTTTATGAGGAATGGCAAATGAACCGAAAATATGCAGGCCTCCCGCGCTCATCTTTGAGACAGTTTCACGAAGGGGCCTCTTCTGGTCCACCGCCATTTGAAAAGTTGCAAGTTGGAGCGAATCACAAGAACAAGAACTATGCTCAGCAGAAGAGAGACTTTGGTAAAAATTATGGTACTTATCTGTTAAGCCAGACATACTTATTATTATATAAATTTGATCTGCTATATCTATTTTGTGGAGTGCACATGTGCATTATGTATCGAACAAATCTATGTCTACACACATATATATATGAATATGTGTGTACGGGTATATCACCCGCAGAGTATATGCATGTCTCACCTGGTTTCTGCAGTTAGATGGATCATATCGTGATCACATTTTCCTATATCCTTTTCGGACATATTTTGATCTGATTTTTTGTTTTACTAGTTTGATCCTTGTCTAGTGATACACTCCATATATTTTAAATGCACGGTTTGGTGTTTTACCTTTAATTGTGTCCTTCATGTAGTGTATTATTTGTTTGTTTTGTCTTTCCTAGCTATGCTTTGCTTAAAGCATTTAAAGAATCTTTATGAACCAAGCGTTGAAGTATTTGTTATACAGAGTCTTGCATGTCTTCATCATCTAGAAGTTCAGTATCCCTGCCTACTGGAAAAGCTGATAGCTCTACAGACTTACAGAAGCATAATGATTCAAGGGGTGACAATTTGGGTGATGATCTGAAGCAATCTAATTGTGAACCAAATGAAGAAAAGCCAATCATCTCTGAAGCAAGACCAAAAGAAGGTCTGTTCTTTATATTTATTACTAGTGATGCCTTTTAAGAGGTATTTTCTCTTCTTTTTTAAAGTGAGTTTAAGATTTGACTCCTTAAACTTGAGGGTAGTGAATGGGTTCTTTATGAAAGGGGAAGAAATTTCAATGGCTTCTCTTTACTTCTTAGATTAGGATTTGACACCAAAAAAGCATTTCTAAAAACTCTTGGAAAAAATGGTTTAGGAATTTGATGTCTACTGAAGGGAGTGTTGCTCAATCTTTTACAGTGGTCGAATCTTTCCCCGTTCAAAATCAAGCAGCTTCACAAAAACTTCTCCAGAAAATGAACCAGCCTTTCAGGGATAATCATCGCATTAGGGGTCAAAGACATAGGGGGAAAGAAAAAGAGGAAGATTCACATCTCCTTACTCTTGATGAATGGGAAAGGAGTAGAAGTGGCAACATTTCTGGAAATCAAAAGCTCTCTAGTATTAGCCAGGATGAGGATCTCGCGAGGCAGCTTCAAGAGCAGTTTGATTTGGAAGATGTTCATGTAAGTTTCCTTTTTTTTGTGTGCAACAGTTTTTATCTGCCTTTATATTCTATTTATCCATACTACCTTTTTAAGGACTCCACCTTGGATTATCTATCCTTATATATGATACATCTCTCACCCATATGGCAACTGTGTCACTTTAAAATTAAATCAAAGTTATTCTCAAAGATCACTACACCCCCCTAATCCCTACACTCAAATTTGTATTGCTGCATGCTAAATATATTATTACAAACATACTAGTTATAAAATACATTCTCTTGTCACTAGAGCTTTTTTGTGGCAATTTGGATATGATAATATGATATTTGCTATCACTATTTATTTAGGTACAAAAAGATTCTAGCATGACAGAGGCAGAAAATATAAGAATGAATATGTTCAGATTTGACCGAGATGATGCCAGAGCTCATGGCACAATGGGGTTTAGAGGAAGAGGAAGGGGAAGGGGAAGAGGACGGAGGGGAGGCAGAGGGAGAACGTGATATATTTTTTGTATGCAGCTAAGCCTCCTCTTAGGTTTCCGAGGTTTGTGACTTTGTCTTTTATGACGGGGAATTCCTCTAGGGTCAGTTTGGGAGTTTAGTTTTGAAGGCTTTTGGTGGGCAGGCTTTGGATGTCTAAGTTATATCTTGATATATTTTTGAGTTTATTGAAAAAAATGGAAGAATGACATAATGATAGATAAAATATTACTGCAGCGTCATTTTTTGTGTAGTGAAAGATTATGCTGATCAAGATATATATGCCAACCCATCCAATGTTGTGCCCTCCAAACCCTTGAGAACCTTCCGTCCAAATAGACCCTTAAAGCAATGCTGAGGTTTATACTAACTTGTACACCGATATCTTTTTATCCACAAATATGTCATGGTGTTCGTGTCTATGAAACCTGGTAGCGTATCCGTGATTCCGTGAGACCAAAGAAACAATAAAAAAAAACGGGTTGTGTACAACTTGATGTACACTTTTCACTTTAATTTACAAATAGCATTGCTCATTCCTCAATGTTAAGCAATGCGACATGTACAAACGACATGTACAAAATGTGGCATTCCCTCGCAGTACTTTTTCCCGTGCACGAGGCTTACTTAATGCCAAAAATGGAGGACAAGCTCTGGTTATCTACCTTCATATCTCAAATGGTACATGCCAATTTTTGTGTTGATACAATTCCAAACGTAATTTGGCAACCCTAACAATTACAACTATGGTTGCAACATGTTGCTGGGAAGAAGAGGATATAAGAAAAATCATGGAGAACTTTTAAAGTTTTGAACTACAAGTGTAAATAAGGACCTAATAATAGAGATTATTTTACACACACACGTATGGATCTTCTCAAAATATGTAGCTAGTTTTGGCCAATATTTGTTGCAATATACGGATGATAATAGTACTCTAATAACAACATCCCATGTAATATAACCAAATTGTCCAAATATGTAGTACGTAGTATGTTTTAGTGCAAATTTACATTACATATGTATTTGATCACATTTCATTAGGCAATACCTTAACGGCTTAACTACGTCGTATGGTAGGTAATGTTGTACTTATCATTTGCCCATGAATCATGGTCGGTCCTCAATATATCCTTTCAAGGAGACAAAGCCAGAACTGCAAAGGCATGTGATGTTGATTGGTAATGCTCCATACTTTGTATTAATGTCCATCATCTATGCAAATTGTTGATATAACAACTAAACTCTCAGTTAGCATGGCTTAAGAACTTGGTTGAGACTTGAGAAGTTATAATGTTTCATTTCAAAATTATATGGTGTTATCTAGTGTTTATTTGAAACCCGGGTGTGTAGGCCTTATATTTGTATTAAGCTCTTACACAAAATAGCATGTTAATTTTTTAACTAACCGGTTGCGACAGTAGTTTGGTATGAGAAAATTCCTGAAATAGAACCAAAACATCGACAAAGTTGTTCGGCTAACATTATTACTTTTTGTAAGTGACCGCCTATATTTGCTTTTTTGTAAACAACTAGTTTGCTAAATAAGGCGGCTTAAACATGACTCTTAGACCACTTGTAACCCAATAGTGTGAATAGGTGAAAACACAAATGTAGAGATATTCACCTTATCAATTGTGCAACACATGTGTATAAAGGGACATAAGTGGACTTGTGAGTTTATCCTTAATTGTAACCCAATAGTGTGAATATGTGTTCACTCTCTGAGTTTATCCTTAATTGCATGAGTTTATGGACTTGTGAGTTGTGGTCCTGTGGATAGTCTTAGGGACTCTTAGGGTGCAAAAAGAAGTACAAAGACATGAGAATATCATGCATGTGTTGCAATTTGAAGAAATAAAAATAAAACACAAATAAAAATGAGTAAATGAAGGATTTCTTTTGACCAAAATTTGCAAACACACCAAATGTGAATGAATTCTGACAATTTGTAGATGAGATGGCATCATCTCACCTACGAACACTGCCTATAGAAGTATAGAGGAGAGACATATGATCTAATAGTAAGTTTCACGGAAGCCGGAGGCAACCCCTTCCTAGGGGTGGACCAGCCCCGTGTAGGTTTTGCTTCCTAGACAGGTTGATGGTTATAATCCGTTAGCTTACCGGTACTGGACCCAGGCATAGTTGGTTCTAATCCGTTAGCTTACCGGTACTGGACCCGGACATAGTTGGCACTTCGCATTGGGCCTGTGCCAGTTCATGAGATTGGTCCTGGAGTAATTTGAATAATTTTAGTGATGGAGTAATGAGTTTTAACGGAAGCAGACTAGGATTCCGTCTAAGTGAAAGAGAGAAAGGAATTAAATCAAACCTAAAGAATTAGGTTCTTGCATTTATCATATTATCAGTTTCTAAATCAAATTTCTTCCATCCATGAATTAACAAAGTGCCATTTCTGCCACAATGCCTAGAAATGCAAAATAGAATGAATACATATTTATATAAAGTTCCAATCACTCCAAATAGTTCCATTTATTTTACCTTCAATTTATCACCTTTTATTTTCTCAAAGTTGCTTTGTGTACACAAAAGCACAAAATACAACCACCTGAAAGATGCACAAGCCGTTGTTAGTGATCAGACATGTTTGTGCGTATGGTGTGTGCGCGCACGGAAAATAACTGTCACAGACAACACATATGTGACCAATTAATAGCTTTCTCTGACCAAATTATGAATCTTTACTTAAACTTATCGCACAAGTAATAATTGTGTTGCTCACAAATAATAGTTGTCTATGTGAGCATTTTTAGTTGTATGTGTTTCGATAGATTTTGTCGCACGGACAATAGTCGTGTTGCCTATAAATAACAAGTGTTTGCGTGATAATTTTTAGTTGTTTGTATGATCAATTTTATTTGTCTATACGAGCAAAATATGTATTTGTTTACGGGCGCACAAATGAATGTTGCAATGTATGTGCGACCAATTTACATGTAATTGGGGGAAATCGAAAGACAATAGAAAAGATGAAAAAAAGAGAATTGAGGTAATTTTGTGCAAGTAATGGGAAAAAATTGGAAATGAAATAGTCTATTTGGTAAGATTGAAATTGGTTAAATCGATTAGATCTATTGAAGTTGCTAAAGTGCTGCTTTAAGTGGTTGATTTGAACGAATTTGCTATGTTATGTAGAAAATATATTTTATTAATAAAGTAAAAGAAAAATCAGATGATGAAAATTGTCAAAGAATAGCCAATTCAGCTAGAAAAGTAACTCCAGATTAGTTATTTGATTACTATACAATTCAGTGTGCGAAATCAAAAGTTAAATGTTTGATAAAAAATAAATTCATAATTTCTTTTTATGATAATAAACTGATAAGATTGATAAACTGAAAATAAGGATCACCAAATGGATTTAAGAAGAGAAGAGAGGGGAGAGAAAGGGTAGAAGATAAGAGGATGAACAAATGCGAAAAGTGGAAAATTATTTATACTTTATATTTTACTCTGTGGTGTCTAAGATAAGTGTACAAATAATATTTTTCTTTTTCTTTTTACTCAGTATATAGTGTCTAAGATAAGTGTAGAATGTAGGTATAGATTGATTAGTCTCTCTCTAGGGCGGTTCACCATCGCTAGCTAGGACTCTTTTCTTCCGCTATCGATCTTGGTTGAGGAGCGGCGGCTGCTCGAGGAGACGTCTGCTGAGGGTGCTGCGTAGGAGACTGGCCGGAAAGTGAGGGGTGGAAGAGCTCTCAAGGTGCACTCACAGGAGTTGTCGCAATCCATCGGGATTTCCGATTCGATTGTTTGGGCGTTTTCCGCAAGATAGATGAGGGTTCGGTGAAGAGGGGCGACGACTTCGATTTTGATCTAGAAGTGTTGGATTTTGATGGAATCCATTGTTAATCAATATAAGAATATGGCTATTGGTGGGGGTGCTGAGGAATTGGATCTGGATGAGGAAGAGATTGGTGAATCCGCGGTGGAGGAGGAACAAACCGACCTTCCCGGTTATTGGAACATTGCTAACTGATAGGAGATCAAATTTCAGATCTCCAAGTATCTTATGGCTTCGCTGTGGAGACCGGATAAAGGTGTGTCTATCAAAGAAATTGGCGAGAAAAGGCATCTCTTTACTTTCTATCATATTGTGGATATGAAACGTGTTTTAGACGGTGGTTCGTGATTGTTTGAAAGAAATCTGTTGATTCTAAAAGAGGTGAAACCAGATGATATCCCGCTCAAAATTGAACTCATTGAGGCAGAATTCTGGGTACTGCTACAAGAATTGGTAATTTTATTGGCAGATTTGTCAAGTATGATGAGAACCAATTTGATGAGAAATGGAAGCTTATTTGCGCGTTAGGGTTTGTATGAATGTGGGTAAGCCCCGGAAGAAGGGAACACCCCTAAAGAAAGCAGGAATTGAGCATTGGGTAGACTTCAAATATGAAAAGTTACCCAAGTTTTGTTTTATCTTTGGAATTATTGGACACTCTGATAGGTTTTGTCCGTTGACATGTGAGGATAACCTGGTTTTGGAAAAAGCTTATGAGGTTAATCTGAGAGCTGGTGGAGACTAGTCCTACAATAGGAAATAAGTGGTTTGTGGAGGGGTCTTATAGTGGAGCTCTGAGTCATTCAAGCAAGGAAAATACTAAGACGGGAGGCGGAACAGGAGGACAAGGTTAGAGGGAGTCTACGACAGGTACGGGAGATAATACGACTAAAGATGGGGAGTTTGGAAGCATCGAGGAAGTGTCAGGAGAACAAAAGCGAAGGAGGATCTGGGAAGCACAAGAGCAGGAAGAGCCGAACTGAGATAATATGACATTAGACAAGCTAAAAAACGAGGAGGAGGCGAGCTCAGGCATTTAAGCCCCCGAAGGATCAGATGCAGGTAGTAGGCCTGAGTTTGGTGTTGGTGCTCTGGAAGATGAAGCAGGATTTTTATTATTTTGTTGTGTTGATTTTTTATGTTGTTGAGTACTCTGTTTTCTTTCAGCTTTATGTTCTTTTGCGTTGTAAGATTGTGAGCTTGGATTTGGATGACAGGAGGTCTACTTTAACCGTGTTTGACTCGGTTGCGCTCAGTAATGGATCAACGAGTAATATTGTTTCTTTGAAGATGATTTACTCTGAGTCTGATTCGATGGTCGGAGGTTGCTAGCGGTTGGCAGCGATCTTTTTGTCCTTTTAACCCATATTTGAATGCTGTGATATCAATATAAGTATCTTTCCATAAAAAATGATAAATGTACGAATAATTTTTTCTCATTTCTTACTCATTTTTATCCTCCGTAATAGTCCTCTTTCATACTCCATATTACGGAGTTACTCCCTCTATTCCTTAAAATTTCATCAAGTTTGACCGACACGGGGTTAATAAATAAGTAAAAATTATATGATTGAGATTTGTGTAGAAGAGAGATAATTAAGTGGAATCATAATTTTTTTACTTAAAAAAGTGGCAAAGTTAGTGAGACATCTAAAGAAAGTTCTACAAAGTTTGAAAGGAGGAGGGGAGTATTAATTACTCCTAATTACGGAGTAATTAATACACAATGATAAGTAATCCACAGAAATCTAAGTAAAAGGACTGAAGTCTCATTCGTCTGCTCAAGAAAGGTATGCTACTTATATACTCCGGTATGATTATTAACCAACTAACTTCCACAACAAACCTGCTCACAACTCCCAGTTCCATTTCCGACAGCGTGTTCACCGGTGTCATCGTCTCTGACTCTCTGCTCGCGGCGGTAACAATTAGGCGAAGCGATGGAACAACTTCCGGTCCAGCCTGTAGTTGCTGTGCTAATCTCGATGGTGATTGCCGCCGGAGCTTATATAAGAAAATCTCTCGACTTCTCCGGTGCTCTCGCCGGGTTCCTTGTCATGTCCATTCACATAGCCGTCAATTATAGGTATGTGTCTTTGTATGCCGCACACTTTCTCTTACTTTATTTTGAACTTTAAAATTGCTCATACAAATGTGTATTCCACTTGATTTGATTGAGGTTTGGAGCGATGCTGCTTGTGTTCTTCTTTACGTCATCAAAGTTCACCAAATTTGGAGAGGAGAGAAAGCGAAAACTCGATGCTGAATTTAAGGAGGGAGGTCAACGCAATTGGTACTGTATCTAATTTCGCTCTCGCTCTGTCTCTCTCGCGGTAATTTTTTCGTGCTGCGTATTTGAATTTAATCGTGCAAATTATTGAAAATGGAGTAATAATAATACGGAGTATATACTACCTGGCGACAATTTGACTTTTCACCATTGACATACTCCGCTTTTGCCTCGATCTAAACTTTCGAAATATCATCTTATATACTCCGTAGTTTTTTACTAATAACAATTGACAATATTAATGGTCAAAGTTTTTCATTAGTGAATTGGAAGTCAAAGTATTGCAACTAAATTAGAATGGAGGAAGTATTCTCTAATCTAATACATGTTGCATTTAGTCATTATTTTTGTACTAAAATGGGCGATAATTGCAAAGAAACTGCTCATAAGAAATTGTAAAATAATTCAATACTACGTATATGATTATGTTATTAAGAAGATACTACGTGATAAATATTGAAACAAGAATACTACGATTGTAAATGGGAATTCAAGTGCCAGGTGCAAAAGCATTGAAGACATAGGGAGGCTTCTATCATGTCTTAGGAAAATTGTGTTAAAACCACTTAGAAAAATGTTGATTGTGGTGAAGTATATTGGTAGCGATGAAGGATTTGCTTATACAGGATTACACAACTTTCAAGATGTGATGCTTAATTCACAAGGAAATAATATGTGTATATATTTTACAGTTTGGGTTACATGCACATGAGTTCTACTTAAGCAATGATGAGTCATGAGTTCAGAGTGCTAGTCAGCTGTGAGCCTTCCAGCCAGGACATTAAAGTTGTTCGTATGTTCTGGTGATTAGGTTCATCTATGATCACCCACAACTGTTTAATTTTACAGGATTCAAGTTCTGTTCAATAGTGGCATTGCAACAGTCATGGTCTTGATTGCTTGGAAGTTGATTGGCACGCATGACATGTGTCTTGACTCGAAACAATCACAAGTCATCACGTCTTTAATAGGTGGTATCATTGGTCATTACTGCTGCTGCAATGGGGACACTTGGTCTTCAGAGCTTGGGATTCTTAGTAATGAGCAACCTCGTCTAATTACAACATTCAAGGTAAACTAATTATTCTTTGGTATCACCTTTTTTTCCAAGTATTCTTCCAATATGATATGTTACTGATCGGAGAAGGGCATCCTTTTTCAATCCCTTATCTATAAGGAGTGTACATTATTCTTTCGATGTCCCCCTCTTTTGCACAACACTCTAAATTAACTTGATGAGGCCCTGTATTTGTGTATCCGTACCAGCATTGTTGTTAAAAGCATCCCACGAGCACCTCACTGACCTTAACTCCTAAAGCAGTGGCTTAACCATGGTTTTAGTTGAGAGGGGCGAAATTAAACATATACAAGACTTGGTAAAGAATATTTATCAAAACATAATTAATATCATTGATCAAATAAAACATTTTGGGTAAAAAAAATACAAATCTAATGGTTACTCACGCATCTCATAAATCACAACTACTATACCACTACAATGAACAATATATATAAATGTAATGAAAAATGACAAATGACTTAACTTATGAATAATAACGTATTCATATTTTTAAAGTTTTTAATTAGGAACCATAAAAAAGTTTTTAATTAGAATAATTTAAATTAGTAATCGAAAACTATAGTTAAAAGATGAACTACATATTATGCAGCAAACACATATTTTACTAGTAATGAAAGTGTGGGTGTATGTACATATACATATGTGAGTGTCTGTCAGGGGAAGTAGCCCCCTGTTCCCCTCCTCTTGATAAGCCTCTGCTCGCAAGGGTTGAAGCCTTTCATTGGGCCAAGGAGTTTGATGTTCACAAGGGACGCCTTGCATGTCTTTGTTGCTTTACTAAGGCACGGTCTTTGAGACATCTGCAAGAAATTCCATCGTGAGCCTTCATAACTATGTATACCAGCCTGTAAAGCCAGGTTATTGTCAACATGTGAGTTTAACCAATTATGAGGAATTGAGGATCAATTTACTTGTTGGAAAGCCCCCCCCCCTCACAAATTATGGTGTATTCCATCTCTCCAAGACAATGATTAATGCAGTGCAAGCTTTGCTGGCTTAATTTCCTTCAAGTTTCCTTAACATATGGGAAATTTTAAGTTATTCTTTGCGCCTATTCATTTATTCTGCATGACTAACTATTAAAATTCTAATGGAGGATCATTTTAATGTGGGGGAAAGCTCCAATGTCCAGTTTTACTTCCTTTGCTTTTATTCTATGGAAGTTTATTATTACTTGCTCCAATTTTTTCTTCAACTTCCACCATATCAAAAGACATACGTAGTAATATTTTACTTCTTCATCTTCTTTCCTACTTTTTTTCATTTTTATAGTATTCACCTCCCTTACAACTTTACCCTTAATTTTAATGAAAAACCTACTAGAGTGAGTAAAAGTATCGACTTGAGTATTTATTATGGAGTATATCTTTTACCATTGGATATGTGGATCCTAACTTATTCCTTTTCTATGGTCAGCGGGTGAAGAGGGGCACAAATGGTGGAGTGACAAGAGCAGGACTTTTAGCCGCAGCAGCGGCGGGTGGTGTAATTGGGTTAACATTTGTGCTCCTAGGATTTTTAACAACCAAGTGCACCTACAGTGTGGCTCTGAAGCAGCTATTAGTAATACCACTTTCTGCTGTGGCTGGGGTCTGTGGAAGTCTTATAGATTCTTTACTGGGAGCCACGTTGCAATTCAGTGGATTCTGCTCTGTTCGCAATAAGGTAAACATTTAATTTCCCATTCATATCGATAATCTTACCAACTCAATGTATACTATCATTATGAAGGATCTGACTATACACACTACGGCCTGATATGGGACTGAGGTTGGAAATAACTCCTTATGGAATACTTTTGAGAATTATGGTGCTTCTAAGAGCTATAAATGTTTGACATTTTATGGTTTGCATTATATGGCTTGTGGTGTTTCAAATCAGCTCAGACAAAACAGTAATTTGTTTTGGATTTTATTAGAACAAAATAAAGCTTTTCCCACCAGAAACAATCTCAAATGTGTGTTAATGTTTATGTAATGTACTAAATTTGAAGTTATTTGGGTGTTGTATGCAATCTTTGCAGGTTGTTGGCAAACCAGGACCAACTGTGAAGAAAATATCCGGTCTTAGGGTTCTCGACAACAATGCTGTCAACCTTGTCTCTATACTCCTGACAGCTGCGCTGGTTTCAGTTGCCTGTTCATTCATATTCTGAAATTCTCAATGTTGGGGCGATTTTCATTTCCTTTTTGCTAAACTTTAAGACTCTCTGAGAGAGTTGTCATTGGTAGAGTTTGTAAAGATCCAAGTCAAGCCGTCTTACACACAAAATTCTTTCTACTAAAATCTTTCACCTAGCAGCATACCGTTATACACAAACGCTAAAGCTACCCCATTTTGTACCCACCCCTATGTTTGTGGCTCACAAAAGCACTTCATTAAAATGAAGTAATTAATTTAATTGGGTTGGATTTTTGTGAGCCACAAACATATGATGGGGTACAAAATGGGGTGACTCTAGCATTCCTCTTGATACACTCATCAAACAAAAAGTTTTGAACTCCTAACGTTGGTTCATGAACCCCGCGCTTGAATGTTCACTCTCTGCAACTATTTAACCAACATTAGTTGGGCTTAGTATGCACTCCTACCCGAGAATTGGTTCCGCGTGAGCTGAGGCTAATGTATGAACCCTACGACTCGATTAACCAATTTTATGGTTTTGGATGGACCACTGGGTCCCAACCACTGGATGTTTCTTAATTCACGACTCAATTCTCTACTTAAAAAAATATACGGAGTAGTATAGGCACGCTTACTACAAAAATAAAAATTAATCTCACTATTTTACCAATGTATGACCTATAGAAAATCATTATTTGGAAAACATTAAGAAAAGAAAAACTTGTAACAAGTCAAAATGTATGTTTATTTAGTTGCAATTTTGAGTTACTTGTATATAGGGTTGGACTCGGGCCGGGTCGGGCCCGGACCGGGCCTAGGCCCGGTCGGGGCCGGCGGTTCTATATAGCTGGACCCGGGACCGGCCCGGGCCTCGGGTTTGGTTATTTTTTTTTTGCTTAGCTACCCATCCCTGACCCCCCCACCCTCACCCCCACCCCCAAACCCCTCCTAAACATCAAGCCCAACCCGGTGGAGCCCAAACAAATGAAAAAAACCAAAAAAAAATAAATTTGGCCCGAACCGGGCCTGGGGCCAGCCGGGCCGGGCCTTGTTATGGGTGACCCGAGCCCGGACCGGAAACCCACCGGGTCGGGCCTACCCGGACCGGTCACTGACCGGGCCACCGGTTCGGGCCGGGCCGGAACAGTACCGGTCCCGGGCCGGTTCCAGGTCGGGCCACCTGGCCCGAGTCCAACCCTACTTGTATATTCTACAGTTTGAAAGTGTTTACATTGTAGATGTATAATTATTAGCCATTTTATGTTAACATCTTTGAATTATTTATCTATTTTGACAATTAACCATTTTTATATTTATATATCTATGCTTAAAAATTATACCTCTTCCGATTTTTAATGAAGTTTACACTTTGACTTCACACATATTAATGAAATAAATTTGACTTTACTCTAGAATACACTGTTTGACACTGTTTTGCACTGTTTGGTGTAGATTTGTTTGTCAAATAAGGCAAATAAGGAAGTGTAAGTTTAATATGAGACAGTCCAAAAAGGAAAGTGTAAAGTTAATTAAGAACCGAATATGATTTCTTACAAAGGGTATACTTATGGATGGACCTGGGCCGGTCCGGTTCCGGTTTCGGGGCGGGCTCGGGCGGGCTTTTTTTGCAAAATGTTGGGCCCGGAACCGGCCCGGGTTGATACCGGGTCCGGGCCTAACCGGGCCGGGCTCGGGTCAAGTTCAATTTTTTTTTTGGTTTCTAATTAACACCCGACCCCCCCCCCCCCCCTTCACCCCCACCCCCAACCCCCCCCCCCCCCCCAAAACACCCAACCCTAACCTAGAAAAGCAAAAAAAAATTGAAAAAAAAAATTGAACCGGGCCCGGCCCGGCCCGAACTGCCCGGGCCGGTTCACCAAAAGTTGGGCCCGAGCCTGGCCCGCCCGACTCGCCCAAACGGGCTAAAAGCCCGGAACCGGCCAACCGGTCCCGGTCCGGTCCGGGCCCAAACAGTAACGGGCCAGGCTGGTTCCGGGTCGGGCCGGCCCGGTTCCGTATACTTCTTAGTTTTTTCAAAAAATGTTACGCTATAGCAGGCCAAAAACTAGTAAAATTGCCTGATTGATTATTTTTTAATGTAAGCGCACTAATATGATACATTTTTAGTATATGGATTTTAAGTGACAAATTTGAAATGATAGAAAGATCTATTTTGACATTTTCCCTTGACATTTTCCATTGGTATTTTGACCCTCAATGTGTGCACAAAATGATTAAAAATTAAACATATGAATGACATAATAGTGGCCTGGTGGGGATTCACCCAATTTAGACGGAATACAATTATGGAAAAAATTAGGTTTACTAAAAATAAATTTGTTATTTTTATGAAGCAAGTGTAACACTTTATCATCACGATGTTCTAATCTATGATGTTAGCTTGTTAGGGCATGCCCTTAAATAGATGCAGTGAGTAGAGCAATAGGTGAAGGGAAGATTTTTTTATTAAAAATAATACAATAATCATCCTAACACAATTTATGAACAAAAAATAAGTTGTACTTGAGGAGTGGAACATGATACACACGCAAATTATACCGTGGGATCGGCCCACCTTCCGCATGGTGTGCCGATCCCACTTTAGGCAAGTTCCTTTTTCTTTTCTTTCTTCCTGGAGCAACGTAAATCCCTTTTCCATTGCTTTTCTCTTTATTTTTCTTTTGTTCTTCAATTCTTTTCTTTTTCCATCAAATTAAAATACTAAAAATTTAATGGCAATCATACTTTTCTTTATCTTCATCTTAAATTATAATTGAATCTATTTTTTTTATTCTTTAACAATGCATAACAAAAAGTTTATTAATCTAAATAAAATAAGTATATTGCAATTAATATTCATACACTATTTTTGTTTTTGTATTAATTTTTATATTCATATACTTTTTTTGTAATATACTTTTTATATTCATACACTTTTTGTTATATTTTTTATATGGAGAAACTTTTTCTATAATATAACTTTTTTATCACTTTTATATATTTTTAGAGGTTTTTAAGACATTGAGTTTGTTTATTTTGATTTTTGAAGTTACATTTGATATTATATCATGAAGTTATATCTTCTTCCACGCGAGTTACATCTTATTGTACGCGAGTTACATCTTAATATACGCGAGTTACATCTTAGTGTATGTGAGTTACACTACGGAATAAACCCTTGTTATATCATTTTTATAGCCCTAATATTAAACATAAAACATATTCACTATTTAAAAAAGTAATTAAGCTATTATGATCAATTTTTCATTGTTTTCATTTAAATCAATGTTTATGACATATATATTATTCTTAAACACACACAAAAAATGTTCTATTTTTCAACAAGTTACATTCTGTATACATCTAAGTTATATTTGTCATCAACACGAGTTACATTTGTAATAACATGAGTTACATTAAAAAATCAACGCTTGCTATTGAAACAAAAAAAAATTAAAAAAATTATTTTTTGTGGTCATGATATTAAAAACAAAACATATTCACAATTTACGTAAAGCAATTGTGAAATTAGACTCTTTTTTTCATTGTTTATATTGAAATCAATATTGTATTTCTAATACTATGTATTTGACAAATTACATTTCGAATGCACTTGAGTTACATTAATCAATAACGTAAGTTACATATCTTTACTCGCGAGTTACACCATTCATGCTACTGGGACAAAAAGAAAGAAAAAATAGTTACTGTACACGCGTGTACTGTTCACGCGATTTTTTTATTTAAAAAATGGGTAAAGCTACGTCGTTTTGAAAGTGGAGCATCATGCTCACCGTGGGATGATCCCACGGTATACGAACTGTGATACACATATTTTAGTTGAAACGGGTGATAAATGTTCAATTGGGGTAGGGATCAGAAAAATTGAACCGAATCCTAGAAACCGACTCTAACCAAGATCGAAAAATGTGATCGGTCTGTGTTTTATTATTTTTGGACTGCCCAAAAAAACTGGATAGAATTCGAAAATCGGGTCCACTAGCGGTCCCTAAAATTTATAACTCAGTCCGGGCCAGTCAAAATCCGAAACAATTACCTTTAATATAAAATCAATACAATATACCAATATTATTTAGAAATGATTCCTAAAATATGACTACAATAAACATGTTTGTGATGATGTTCAACTGAAATATCCTCTCAAGGTTTATTCAGTCAAACATTTGAAACGTCTATCAAGGGAGAAAATCTTTACTCATCAAATCATATCCCATCATTCACCTGCGTTGAAACTGTTATTGTTCAAAAATGGATTCCTAAATCAGAATTATAGTCATATAGCTCTCCAAAAGCTTCAAAAGGGACTGGTTTACGAACAAAAATAAAACAACGAAATCGAGCAGGTGTCCCTCATGTGTGGTGCCTGATATGTTTGCTCCACACACATAATGCGAAATCGAGCTGTTGAGCAACCACTTATGGCTTCTGAGTAAAGCAGCTCAGAACCAACACTACACTAGAGTTTCTGGATACATCAGTCAGAACCCGATTACCCAGAAAGGCTTTTGAACATCTCAATTCAGAACCCACGAACAAAAGCAAGACGTATTATACGTCAAGGGGGCGCGATGAAGATATCTTTTTGAGCTTCCATACAAGTTCAGCAAAAGCTCCCAGTGCACCTATTCAAGACAAAACATTTTTTAGGGGGGAGTTAGTGTGAACATTATGAAGTGACGTGTATACTCTTCACTGAGCAGAAAATTCATCTAATGCATGCTTCAACACAAACACACACCAAGTGCATATTCTGAGGTGTGTGTGTGTGTGTTTCTTTTTCACTTCTTCTGATTCCCTACAACGAAGAAAGCACATTCCAAGGGGGAGTTTCAATCTTATTCCCTATGTGACAAACAACACCACTTGCACATTCTGAGGAGGAACATCTCTATTCCCTCCTCGCGCCACAACGTTCAACGGAAGACAACTCAAGGATGCACTTTTGAGAGGGTGTTTTCAAATTTCTCCTTCGACGTGCCAAACAATGTCAAATGCATCCTACTGGGTGCTCTTATGGAGGGGGAGTAAAGAGATCAATGAGAGATGAGTCTCAATGGCTTAGTAAACCCAACTAAATCCTACCCAAGAGACACAGCCAAGAGTGAGTGAGCGAGAGTGAACACTATGAGAGTGAGGAAACAGAAGGCTCAACTG